ATGATAGATGCCTTTAAGGGGAAGCTGGACAAATATTTTGGGGAGAAGGGAATATATGGTTCTAGTATTAGATTTAGGAGGACAAAAATGGGGGCATGTTCAGGTACAACACCAGCATGAACTAGTTAGGCCAAATGACCTGTTTATTTGTATATCTTTTGTGATTTTTTAAAAATATAATCCCAGCACTCTATTTGCATCCATACAGTTTTGTGAAGCATGTCATAGATTTGGATTGTTTTTACATAACTTACTTTTTTTTAAGGATCTAAGGTTCTTCCTTTTCCTTTAACAATGGTTTGTTAGTTTCTAGTGAGATTAGGTTATGGATCAAGACTGTTTCGTTCCTCTGATTATATCTGTGATAGTGGAACAGAAGAAATGTCATCGGTAGTAACAAACATAGAGTGGAGTGATGGAGTAGTATGTGAAGATAGTACAGTTTGGGTTTTGTATACTGTTTACCTGCATAATGGTCAGTTTCATACAGATGAAGGTAATGGTACTAATGTGCTGGCTATGATAAATGAGAGGATTAAGACACTGAGTAAATTGGTATTCAGAAGTAGCATAAGTCAATAGAAAGGCACAATGTAAGATTGTTTTCTGACAACTTACAGTCTATTTTGCAATTACACTAAAAATGTACACCACATAATTATGGAAAGTAAAGTTTTATTTAAGTTTATTTTTAAGCTCTCTTGCACCCAAATGTATGATAATACAAGCAAGCATTTTATTCTAACTGTTGAAAAGTCCTGCACAGAGCTGTAACTATTTTCTTCTTGTAAAACAGCACAGAGATTGATTTTACCAGCAGTACCCTTCAGGAACCATTCAATTAATTCAATGAACGTGATTAAAATAATCAGGTCTTACAGGAAAATCTAGAGGCCACTGCAGCTTTTTATGGGTCATAGTTTATAGCTCTTGTTCCAGAAACTTCAGAATCAGGAAGTGGCATAAAGACATTGCAAGAGACTTTTTCATTCTGCAGTTGCCTTCATTACCTGTTTCTCTTTTTGTTCAGGCACAGATACTAACTGCATCTGGGAATTAATCCACACTAAATCTGAATTAGAAGGACGGCCTGAAACAATTTTTCAGTTGTGTAGCAGGTACGTAAATAATGCCTTTAGACTTTTTATTGTGCAAAGTCACCATCTAGAAGGGTTTTAAACATGGCTTTGTGTTTCACTACATTCTACTTAGCTTTAACTATTCAGTACAAAGTTATTTATCTCCAAAGAGTTGTATGAGTCTGTTATAACAATGTCTCTTGGCCACCACTTGTCCATCGTAAACATTTTGGGGCTTAACCATTTGCTAATCTATGGAAACATTAATCCGGATTTTCCAATAGCCAGGTAGTTGTTATTCCAGCATAATGTGAGCTGTGCACGCATCCCTGAAGAATCCTCATTATAGCAGATTCTGAAAAAATTGCCCTGGAAATTGAAAATTACGCTTGGCAATTCCTTTATGCCTGGAGCTCCCAAAGTCTGTGTTTAAATCGGAGAATTTGGACGGTTCTGATGGAATTGAGTAAATAATTAGAGGAAAAGTTAGATCATTAATTCTATGGTCTAACTCTGTGTAACTATTCAACTAACTCTACACTTGCCTAGACTGTAATTTGAACCACCCAGTTGCAGCTATCTCACGGTGCTGTTTTCCCTCGGCCGGAGATGGTTCTCATTCCACTGGTCCATACTTAACCCCTTTTTCAGTGCTGTTGGACACACTCGCCATTTACTGGCTCTGCCCTCCCTACCTCCTTCCCCTTACGTTGGAGCTGCAGACACTTCCCTGGCTCCACAGTTTACCCTTCTGTGTTTACCCTGTCCAATAAGCAGCATCCTATTACTACTAATAGGTAGTTACAAGGATTCTTGCCTTTATCAGTCATGGCATAAATTATAAGAGTAGGGAGGTCATGTTGCAGCTGTACACAATTTTGGTTAGGCCACAACTAGAATATTGTGTGCCATTCTGGTTCTTACACTATAGAAACGACGTGATTGCAATGGAGGCGTGCAAAGGAGATTCACCAGGATGTTGCCTGGGGTCAAGCATTTCATCTACAAAGAAAGGCTGAATAAGCCCGGGTTGTTTTCTTTGGAGCAGAGAGGTTTGAGGCAGAACCTGATAGAGGTCTACAAACCGAAGAAGAGCTTGGACAAAGTTGGGAGAAAGCAGTTGTTACCCTTAGTCAAAGGGTCAGTAACAAGGGGGCATAACTTTAGAGTGAAAAGCAAGTGCTTTACAGGAGATTTGGGAAAGAAAATGTATTCATGCAGTGTGGTGACTGCCTGGAATGCACCACATGGGAGGATAATTGACTCAGGAAACCTCAACCTTTTGAGAAGTACTTGGATGAGCACTTGAAATATCATAACATTCAAGGCTGTGGCTGTACTGCAAATAAGTGGGACTAGTGTGGGCAGTAATGTATTTTTGGCAGTACATTTCAATGTGCTGAAGGGCCTCTTCTGTACTGTATGATTCTGATATGTATGTATTTATGCAACAGAAATTATTTTATTTCCAGTGATCCTGAGAGTAAAACAAACATAATTAAAGTGATACGTTCAATTCTGAGAGAGAATGTTCGCCGCAATATGACCAAATCAGAAGTACCATTTGAGAAACTGAATAAAGATCATATAATTCCTCTGAGAAACAGAGTGCCATCCTCTGCTAAAATTGGTAAGATAACATACAGCAGTGTCTTGATTTCACTACTACAAAAACTAAATTCTTTGGGAATTAAGTAACTCATTTATATCATCAACTTAATTTAATTATTTTTCTTGGATCAATATTTTAATTATAAATGTCGTTGAATAGATTGCCAAAGCTTTTATGTGCTGAGAGAATGATATCTGTCTGTAGGATGGTATATTCACTTAATTTATGCTTGTTAATGATCACCTTTACAGCTTTTCTTGATCCTTCTTGTCCTAATGCACCAAGGTCAACTTGGTGTACCTGCAGATTTGCCAACTCCCTTCAAAGTAGTTTGCACATTACTAATTTATACTGTTTAGTAAAAACAGCATTACAACTTGAAATCCAAGTCATGTGCAGACCTAAAACAAAATTTAGACACAATCTAGTCTGTGATTTGTGTCTAACCTATACATACGGTTTCCATTTTTTTGTAATAGTACAACTGTTTAATATTATGATTTGTTCTTTTCTTCAGCATCAACGCGAGCATCAAAATTGTTCAAACATTCTCCATCTTATTGGAGTCAGGACTCTGGGAGATGTAACGCTGTTGATTCTGACGAATGTAGCCTAAGCAGTGGAACACAAAGCAGTGGCTGCCATACCTCAGAGAGTGGACTAGAGCACAGTAGCCTTTCGTATCCAAAACAAGATCACAGTGGTACAGAGGAACGACAGGAAGATGAAGTAAAAGAATCAGACATTTTGAGTGATGAAGAAGATTGCTGCAAATCAAAAGATGACAATTTGACAAATGAAATCAAAGAACAATTTGAGAAAATGCAAATTGATGTTGATAAAGTGGATGTAGAGCAGGCATCAAATAATAACCACCTGGATACAGAAGAGGTGGAACAAACAGATGGTCACCCCAGGCTTGTGCGAGGCCACTTCTGTCCAATCAAAAGAAAAAGTACCAGTACGAAGAAGAAAAAAGGTAATTTGTTGTCCATGCAGGAGCACAACCGATCTCTGGATAGTCAATCTGGTGGGCCAAACATTGACTTGACTTCTGTTTTGGAGAGAGAGTTTAGTGTCCAGAGCCTAACTTCTGTAGTTAATGAAGACTGCTTCTATGAAAACATTGAAAGTAATGGTGAACCTTAAAGTCAGCATCTCAATTGAGTGCTGCTGTTTATATAATGATCAGGTATTAAAGTTAGTTTGTTGTCCTTATTTTAAATCTTCATGTTATACTGTTCTGGTCAGTTTTTGACTTTGAAAGTAAAGATCAAACTTTATAAAGAAAAGCAATGTTTAGTTTACCATACTGCTGACTACACTAAGATCACAGCCTCAAAAACATAGAGCATATTAGCCAATAGTTTGTCAGTTGTGTAAAATAAAATTGTTTAGTTTCTACAATACACTAATTTTATATTGGAATTACAAATAAGGCAGGTATTGAACAGCTAAAATAATATTTGAGAAGTTAAATTGCTTATTTTAATAAGCTGTAAATCTTAATTTTATTTATAGATGGAAAATATTGGTTTACATTATAGCATCAAGATAATGGAATTTATTCCATTGTGTCTGGTTTTAAGTTTTTAGAAAGCAAAGTATGGCACTGTTTTCTTTTATCTGTTTGCCAAGGTAAACCTCTGGTGGCCTGACACAAAGAGCTCAACTTATTTAACATTGTCTTCAGCACTATAGCTTTAGGAGGCTGCAGTATATATGTGCCTCATCGTGCTCACATTCTTAAGGTGTCTTTTTTTTGCTTTGTACATAAACTTTGGAGATTGTGTATATTGTAATTTTATGAAAACTGTCTGCATTGTAATGCTGGTTTTAATTGGTTATATTTTGTATCCTTTTGAATGACTACTTGACATCACATGCTGAGAAGTGTTGGACGTGAAATAAGTATGCACATTTTACTCAAGATGTCTGCAATGCTGGTGATGACATTAAAGTGAAGAAATTGTCAAATTGTTGCCAAAGTACCTTGTCCAATTAAACTTCTATAAACGTTTATAAATTTGATTAACTACTGAAAAAGGATATTTTTGGAACAAATCCTACTTCACACTATAAACTGCTATATTATTTTAGAGTTCTAACATAGTTACCCTGAAATAGAAGAATATATGTTTGTGTTTGCCCAAGTCCTCTTTCTAGTTTTGCTTGGATAAACTAGTGGATTCCATAACAGTTGCTGTCTTGCCCTGTTTGGCAGAAGTGGCTGATGACATAAAATTTGATTTTTACTTTAAATCACAAAATATCCATTTTAGGCTTACACAATTCAGCAACAACTTGCATTGATATAGTGTCTTTGGGTGTTTTATTACATTAATGCCCGTGAAACACCATTAAAGAAAACCTGACATTGAGGCGCATTACAGATATCAGGATAATGATAAAACAATTGATAGAAAAGGTAGCTTTTAGGTTATTCTTCGAAGGAAAGCCAGGTAAGGAGATTCTAGAACTGCGAGCATATGTGTGAGAGGCCAGAGTTCTTGGCGCATAGACATAAGCGTTATAAGATAGCGGAGAGTACCAGGCCACAGACTAAAATTTTGAGATCGTTGCAGACCAGTGAGAACAGCAATAGTGAAAGAAAGGTATTTCGTATGACTTAGGATAGCAGCGGCAGAGCTTAAGTTTACAGAAATGAATGTAGGAAACCAGCCAGTGGTACATTGGAATAGTCGGGTCTACAGGTAAAGCCATTGTTGAGCATTTCCTTAGCAGCAGAGCTGAGATGGAGGAAAAGACAGAGGTGGTGTTTTAGAATGGAAATAGGCAAGTTTGATGATATTCAGTTGAAAGCTCATCTTGGAATCACATTTGACAGTCTGTGAACAATCTGGTTAACCAAGATGACATTATTTTCAACTTGTCTACATCTAGCCTTTAACACCAGTGACCATACCAACTTTCCCCAAAACCTCCCCACCATTGTTCTAGCATTTCTAATAAACTTTCTAACATACATATACAGAATAGTCAACAATTTTCAAATATACTGCATCAAAACTGGAATGTCAAGCAACTAAACAATCAAAAGGAAACACCACTTAGTCTATGGAAAATATAAATTGGTCCAGTCAATGAATCGCTTCAGAAACATAAGATGACTGAATAATTTAAATGATAAGAATTTTGCAGTTTTTATGTTTTGCAATTTTCAATGAATAACAGTCACTTGTGATGCTGCAGTAGTGTGCTTACCTTTGGGCCAGGAGGCCCAGGTTCAAATTCCCACCAGCTCCAGAGGTGTAATACCACCTCTGAACAGCTTCATTAGCAAAAAAAAGTCTATGAATGATCACTTAGGGTACTGTAGAGATCAATTATGCTGTCCATTAGTGCCATTATGATGCAATCAATCAGTTGCAGAATTGAGCTTGTGAGATAAGCTGCTGTAATTAAACATACTCTTTGCACACAGGTGTAGGTGTTGTTCAATTGATGCATCAACATACTATCTGTTTAATCCAAACTTGTGGAAAAGTACTTAAAGGTAAGTCGCCGCTCAGTAGAGGGAGGCAGGGAAAGAAATGAATGTAATTTGGTACACGTGGGCATAATTACAGATCAATCTCTACAATACAACTGCACAATCTGTTGTAAACTCACAACCCAAGCACATATCATCATGTCATAGGAACGTATCCAATACCATTTGTCTTTGTCCTCTGCCACTCGGCTCACCTCAACCAGTTAGCTTGAAAATTTCCTGAACATTGGTCCACACTTTGACCTCTAAAAAATTTTTAACAGCTTCTTCTCAGGCAGTGATAGCTGTCTGGGAAGCTATGGCCATAAACCCATATTTATAAACTATTGATTATTGTATTAACATCAGTACAAAGTGAATACAGTTTGAAATCACTGACAATTATTCAGTCCCAGAGCTTCTTCACTCTATTGCCTACCGTGCTACAAAACCCATACATTGGATAAAACAAACAATTTGTTGCAGACCATAAAAATAAGCTTTCAATCCCTTCCGTTACAAGTGCATAGTGCACAGCCCAAGTAAGATGTAAACAGTTCCAATGGAAGCATTTTATTTGAAAGATGGTAATAATCATATGTCGTAAAGCAGATCGAGGGCATTTTTATTGAATATCAATTTGATGTAGTTTTAGTAACTAATACAAAGATCCAGGTTTTGGATGTTTTAACCTTCACTTATCACACACTCTTCGTGATAATTTCTGTTAATGGAAAAGCTTCTTTTGTCGTAATTCTTCTCTGAAGTTGTAAGTGAAAAGATTTTGGTTTTCACTGCATAGTTGGTAATATGCATCACAAAGAGCCCTGAACTGAGGTATAGAAAGTTCACCTGGTCGGAGTGTTGGGTCAACATCAGCGAGACAAAGCATTTGTTCCGTTAGCTGTAATCTCTGAGCTTCAGGAAATAAAATTCTAATAACAAAAAAAAATGTAAATTTAATTAATTACATTTAAATTAAATGTATCTCTTAGGAACATAGTACAGCATAGTTCTAACTTCTTTATATCAAAGCAAAAATTAAAAGGGAATGTTTGGTAATGTAATTATGAGAGACTCCTTGGTGATGTGCGACCATAATATGACAGAATTCTTCATCAAAATGGAGAGTCAGGCAGTTGATTCTGAGGCTAAGGCCTGAATCTTAATAAGGGAAGCTATGATGGTATGGCTGTGATGGATTGGGAAATGTTATTGAAAGGAATGATGATGGATAGGCAATGACAAACCTTCAAAACACAAAAATTGTTTATTCCTAATGGTCACAAGAGTGGAAAGGCAACAGTGGTCAAACCACGTCTTGCAAGGGAAGTTACAGATAATTAGATGTAAAAAAAAAGCAGCATACACATTGGCAAGAAAAAGAAAACGACCTGAGGGTTGGGAATAGTTCTAGAAAGTCAGCAAAGGAGGATGAAGGGTCTGATTAAAGAGGGGAAAATAGAGTACAAGAATAGGCTTGTGAGGAACATACCTATAGAGATGATTATATTCAATTTGTAGGTAAAGAGAAAAAGATTGGAAAACTAATATAGGTCCTTTACAGTCAAAAATAGGGGAAATTAATAATAAAGGGGGAATGAAGAAATGGTTGACGAACTAAATACGTACTTCACTTCTAATTTCACAAGGGAGGACTCGAATAATGTACCATAAATGATAGGGAACACAGTTTAGTGACAGGGAGGAACTGAAGCAAATCTATATTAGAGAAATGGTGTTAGAGAAATTGATGGGATTGAAGGCTGATAAATCCCCAGAACCTGATAATCTACACCCCAGATTACTTAAGGAAGTAGCCCTAGACGTAGTGGATGCATTGGTGATCATCTTCCAAAATTCTTTAGACTCTGGAACAGTTCCTATAGATTAGACCATAAGACACAGGAGCAGAAATTAGGCCATTCGGGCCATCGAGTCTGCTCTGCCATTCAATCACAGCTGTTAAGTTCCTCAACCCCATTCTCCTGCTTTCTCCCTGTAATCTTTGATCCCCTTGACAATCAAGTCCCATCTCTCTCTTAAATAGACTCAATGACCTGGCCTGCACAGCCTTCTGTGGCAATAAGCTGCATACATTCACAAGTCTCTGGCTGAAGATGTTTCTCCTCATTTCGGTTCTAAAGGATATCCCCTTTACTCTGGACTGTGCCCTCAGATCCTAGTCTCTCCTGCTAATAGAAACATCTTCCCAACGTCCAACTCTGTCCAGGCCATCCAGTCTTCTGTAAGTTTCAATTAGATTCCCCCCATCCTTCTAAACTGCATTGAGCATAGAACCAAAGTCCTCAAACATTCCTTATATGTTAAGACTTCCATTCCTGGGATCATTCTTGTGAGCCTTCTATGGACCCGCTCCAGGGCCAGTACATCTTTCCTGAGGTATGGGGCCCAAAATTGCTCACAATTTTCTAAATATGGTCTGACAAAGCCTTATAGAGCCTCAGAAGTACATCCTTACTTTTATATTCTAGTCATCTTGAAATAAATGCCAACAGTGTATTTGCCTCCTAACTACCAACTCAACCTGCAAGTTAATCTTAACAGAATCCTGGACTAGGACTCCCAAGTCCCTTTGCGCTTCAGATTTCTGAATTTTCTCCCCATTTAGAAAATAGTCTGTGCTTCTATTCTTACCGAAGTGCATGACCTCACGCCTACCCACATTGTATTCCATCTGCCGCTTTTTTGCCCATTGTCCTAACCTGTCTAAATCCTTCTGCAGCCTCCCCAGCACCTCAATACTACCTGTCCCTCCAACTATCTTTGCATCATTTGTAAACTTAGCCTGAATGCCCTCAGTTCCTTCATCTCAATTGTTAACGTATAAAGTGAAACGTTGTGGTCCTAACACTGACACTTGCGGAACACCACCAGTCATCAGTTGTAATCCTGAGAAGGATCCTTTTATTCCCACTCTCTGCTTTCTGTCAGACAGCCAATCTTCTATCCATGCTAGCACCTTGCCTGTAACACCATGGGCTCTTATCTTATTCAGCAGCTTCCTATGCGGCACCTTATCGAAGACCTTCTAGAATTCCAAGTAGATAACATTCATTGGCTCTCCTTTGTCTAACCCATTCATTACCCCTCCTCAAAAGAATTCTAACACATTTGTCAGGCATGACCTCCCCTTGATAAAACCATGCTGACTTTGCCCTATTTTATCAAGCACTTCCAAGTATTCCGAAATCTCACCCTTCACAAATAGATTCCAAAATCTTACCAATGACTGAGGTCAGACTAATCGGCTTGTAATTTCCCGTCTTTTGCCTTACTCCTGTCTTACACAGGGAGGTTACATTAGTGATTTTCCAGTCCTCTAGGACCCCTCCCTGACTAGTCACCACTACGCCTCCACTATCTCTTCAGCTATTCCTTTCAGAAGTCTGGGGTGTAGTCCATCTGGTCCAGGTGATCTAGCACATTCAGTTTTTCTAGCACATTCTCCTTGGTGATGGCCACCAATACTTACCTCTGCCTCCCCCCACCACCCCCACCCCGACTCTCTTCAAATTTTGGAATGTTACTCATTTTCCACGGTGAAGACTGCCACAAAGTACTTGTTCAGTTCCTTAGCCATTTCTTTGTTCCCCATTACTACTTCTCCAGTGTCATTTTCCAGCAGCTAAATGTCCGCATTTGCCTCTTTTACATATCTAAAGAAACTCTTGCAATCTTTTTATATTACTGCCTAGCTTACCTTCATTCTTAATCTTCTCCCTCCTTATTTCTTTTTTAGTTGTCCTCTGTTGATCTTTGTAGGCTTCCCAATCGTCTGGCTTTTGACTGCCCTTCATTGCATTATACACTTTCTCTTTTGCTTATATGCTATCCCCGACTTCCCTTGTCAGCCATGGTTGCCTCGTCTCCCTTTAGTATGCTTCTTTCTCCTAGGGATGATTTTTTGTTGTGTCTCCTGAATTACTCCCAGAAACTCCTGCCATTGCTATTCCATTGTCTTTCCTGCTAGGCTGTCCCAGTCAGTTCTGGTCACCTCCTCTCTCAAGCCTCTGTAGTTGCCTTTATTCAACTGTAATACCGTTGCATCTGATTCCAGCTTCTCCCTCTGAAATCACAGAGTAAATTCTATCATATTACGGTCACTACCTCCTAAGGGTTCCTTCACTTTAAGCTCCCTTATCAAGACTGCCTCATTGCACATCACTAAATCCAGAATTGCCTGTTCCCTAGTGGACTCCACCATAAGCTGTTCCAAAAGGGTTACATTAGCTACCCTCCAGTTGAAAAGGGAGGTGGAGAGAAAAGAGGGGTTTACAGACCAGAAAGTCTTGGACTTTCAGAAGGCTTCTGACGAAGTCCCATGTACCAGATTAACGTGTAAAGTGAAAGTGCACGGGATTAGGAGTGGTGCATTGTGATGGATAGCAAATTGGTCAGCAGACAGAAAACAAGCAGGGAGTGGGTACTGTGACTCCAACTATTCACAAAATGTTAATAATTTAGAGGACCAAGCTAAATGTAAGATCTCAAAATTTGCAAGTGACACAAATGGCCTAGTCCTGCTCCTATCTTCTCTGCTTCTATTACAATTAACCGGTTATCTGTGAATCTGTAGCATTGCTATTGCTGCTCATCTCTCAATCAGAAGAATGAAGAAACACAATGCTTGGGGCACCAAAACTATTCCATCTGTGATCAGCAAAGCTAACAGACATTTACTTCTATCAAGGCCCCATGCACTGTGCCTATGGATTTGGGAGGAAAATCAAGTACATTGATGTAAGATCATGAATTGCCTACTTCCTGTGGCCAAGGAGATCCTGCCAGGGATATACTGTGGCTTTAGACCTTTCGTTGGAGCTTCTGTCATGTTCCTTCTTGCCAGATAAATCCAAATCCACTTCAACAGGGGGAGAGTCACACAACATTTGTTCAAAGCCTTTGAAAAGGTCCTACATGATAGGTAGGCTGATAAAGCTGGAAAAAGCACATGGGATCCAGGGTAATTTGGCAAGTGGAAAACAAAACTGGCTTAGTGGTAGGAGACAGAGGGTGGTGGTAGAAGGCTGTTTGATTGACTGGAGCCCAGTATCCACTGGCATACCACAAGGATCAGTGCTGTGTCCCTTATTATTCATGATATATATAAATGATTAGAAGAGAATGTGGTGGGGATGGTAATTAGTTTGTGGACAACACGAAGATTGTCAGGTCGTTGAAAGTGATATTGGCTATGATGCCAAAATTAAATACAGTCTAGACGGGCAAACACTTTAGCATCAGTCACCTCCAAACCATCCTAGATCATAGAATTCCTACGGTGTGGAAACAGGCCCTTCAGCCCAACAAGTCCACACTGACCCTCAGAGCATCCCACCCAGACTCATCCCCCTATGACCCACCTAATCTACACATCCCTGAGCACTATGGGCAATTTAGCATGGCCAATCCAACCTAGCCTGCACATCTTTGGACTGTGGGAGGAAACCAGAGCACCCGGAGAAAACCCACACAGACACGGGGAGAATGTGCAAACTCCACACAGATAGTTGCCCGAGGGTAGAATTGAACCCTGTTCCCCTGGCACTGTGAGGTAGCAGTGCTAACCACTGAGCTACCGTGCCACATGATGCACAGATTGCAGATGACTGCAACGTCATAATGCACTTTGCACCACATGTGTAAGCCACCCTCTATCTCTTCAATACTACATACAAAAAATACAATCTGCCCTTGCATGTTGCCAAATTCATATCAACCCACACATGGTCAGCCAAATATTTCATTTCCCACATACGTTGAAGAGGAGACTTTGGAATACATTCAGCACAGCAGCACTGACAATGAGTTTCAATAAGATGCTCCCAGTCTCTCAGTACCTTAACAATTTGTTCATCAAGCTGCAACACATTTTGAGTCCCAATATCATAATGATGAGGTACAGTAGTGGTACAGAAGGAGAAAGGAAGAAAATTCCGAATTCCACATTCCACTACCTCATGAGACATTTGTTTAATGTATTACAATTGTTATAATAATATTATCACTGTGATGAATTTACCTTAGTTATTGCGAAAATAGATCATCGATAGATACAGAACTGGAACTTACTCAACTCCTCTTCGGCAGTACTTTCTCTTAAAGCTGAAGATATGTCTCACCACTTTTTCCACCAGTTTAAACGGTTGGTTAATTTGTGGTTGCACCAAAGGCACAAAGTGCACAACTCCTACATTAACCTAGACATCAAAAATTAGATTATATTAAGAAAATCTACATTTAAAATGTCATGTTTGAAAATGTATCTATTGGAGGGTAAAATGGGTTTGATGTAACAAACATTGGGCATGTTCAACCTTTCTACCTAACTCGACGTTATTCAATAGGTCCTCAACTCTTTACCATGTAGCTGATCACTCACTCATAGACTGACAACTGATTATAATAGTTTTGAGTAAAGTAACCCTGCTGTTTATATGCCAATGATGGAAACACTGCAATGATCTTGAACAGGCTAAGCCCAGATCATATGGTACTCACAACTGTAGATATCCCTAATGGTTTCTGGACCATTCCTTTTGTCTCAGAATCACAAATAAATAAATTTGCACTGTTGGAGAAAAGCAATACACGTGCATCCACATCCCCAGAGTCCTACAACAATCAATCTATATTCCACTAGGCAATGAACGGGGTCCTGACAACGCTGGACCTGTCCTTCAATGAAAGCACTCTGTTGCAGCATCTCCCGATAACATCTAAGATCAAGAGTGGGCAGTACGTATAACTAGCTTATCTTTTGGAAGTGCTGCAAGTAACAGTCACTGTTAATTACAAGACGACAGGCTGGACAATTAGTGGTCCAGTATCTGCAGCAACACTAGTTGGAAATGCTTTGGTCTATGTCAGAGGACTGACATGCTGAGACTGCCAGGAGGCCCCTACTCATGAATGCGAGGGAAATCAGAAATGTTTTAAGACTCTTTCATTATTACCAGAATCTTATCCCTAATTTCACATCATTGGTACAGCCTACAGAATATTTGCCAAAGGGAGGATTTGCCACTTGAGAACTGATAGAATCACGGAGGATCAGGAAAAGGCATACAAAGATAAAGGAACCACTGGTCAGGAGTGCTGGATTTGGACAGACTAATCCATTCAGAAATTATTGCAATGCTGTCCTTGAGCAGTGGTATAGTGAATAAAGTGGTCTACTACACCACCCAGCGGTCCGCTGTAACTATGGTCTCTCCCTGTCACAGTAGCACTGGATTGTTCTGCCTGGGCATTTTTGATTAGTAAGCCAGTGATGTCACCCTACGTACCTGTCATACTTTGGTGAAACTGTTAAATGGAGGCAAAAGAAGATTCGTAACAACAGCAGAAGAATCAAATGGGAAATGGTTTTGATTCAAAGACTGGTTTGTGCAAATACTGCAAGATGTTGGGTCAACTCCCACAGAAGTGACTTTGCTACAGGGAGAAGCCCATCATTATGAAATACTGGTTAAAGATGAGGATGGCTGTGGAGTTTGGAACATCCCAGAGGAACTGTTTATAGATGGAGCTAGAAGATATGTAGATGTGGAACCAAAGACTGGCTGGGCTGTAGTAAAATTCAATTGAGAAATAGCGAAACAAGGAGACACACAGATGGGGGATACTTTCCCCAGGTAGTTGAATTGGTGGTACTCACCAAGGCAATAAAGTGATGTGATGGTAAGTAGGTTAATTTTACATAGCTAGTCACTATGCCTTCAGAATAGCACATGATTATTTAACAGCATGGGGGAGGAGGAAATACATAACTTCACAAGCACAAACAGATTGTTCAATCACTGCTACAGATTGCAAGCCTCCCAGGAAAAATGACTAAAGTTAAGACCCACTGAAAAACCAATGACTCAATTCAGCAGGGGCATCAGTAGGTAGAAACTATGATCCTGACTTCACCATCAAGGGCTGTAATTATTCTTCTCTGGGCTAATAACAATGTTAAGAAGTCATATGAAAATGCACTTCAAGAAGAACAGGAAGAGTGGGGAGAGAAAGGGCCTGTAAAAAGCAGCGGGGGGTGGGAAGGTATTTGGTGAGAGGAGGATGCAGTGGCAGTATGCACTGTGTCAGACAAATTTGCTGGAAATACATCAGTGTACACCAAGGAAGAAATGTCACGGTCAAATTTCTGGAGAGCTACTGGCAGGAGCCTGGCATGCTGGCAGGGATATGGTCAAATATTGTCAGAGGTGCTGGATCAATGCAAAGTTATAAAATAGGAAAGGCCATTAAAATCAAATTAGTCAACCAGCAGAGACCAAAGAGCCTGTGGAAGAACTTCCACATGGACTTTATGGGTCCCCTACCCAACAGCCAAGGAACAAACGTATTGCCCAGTTATCATGGACCACTTTACCTGAAGGGCAGATGCATTCCAACACAGGACTGCTCTGCCTTCATCGTAGCAAAATTCCTGACAGAAGTAATACCAAACAGGGGAGTGCTCCTCCAAGAAGACTCAGATCAAGGGACTCTCTTGACATGGAAAGTATAGAATTATAGAATCCATACAGTGTGGAAACAGGCCCTTCGGCCCAACAAGTCAACAATGACCGTCAGAGCATCCCACCCAGACCCATCCCCCTGTAAACGACCTAATCTGAACACTACGGGCAACCTGGAGTCACATATAGGCCAGATTAGGTAAGCACAGCAGATTTCCACCCTAAAGGACATTAGTGAACCAGATAGGTTTTTATGACAATCAACAATGACGGCTCCCTATTGCAGAATTATTTTAAAATTGGATTCAAATCTCACCATGCATCATGGTGGGATTTGAACCCGTGATCCTGGAGCTTTTGCTTGGGATTCTGGATTCCCATCACCTTCAAACTAACACCATTTGAACTAATGGCTGGAAGGGCTGTGCAAATCGCAGTCTCCTGTGCTCTCTTCCCAACTGTAATTGTCCTATCATCAGAGGATGCTGTGTTACTGGACATGTATTCGGTACATCACAAGTGGATAAATTAATATATCACATATTGTTATAACTGCAAGTAATGAAGATGTAGTACCACTGAGAGAGTTAGAAGCAAGCGGTAGCATTGTGTTAACAGTTAAAGGCACTGAGGTTCAAATAAGTGACCAACAGGAGATACAGGACCAAGAAAGGAGCAAGGGAAGTAAGGAATTACAGAATGTACTGAAGTCAGGAGAATAGCTTATGGTAAAGAAGTCCCGTGACTGGCTTGGGTTCGCTGTGGGATGACACTTTCTAATCCATCTGTTCAGACTGATGCTATTACATATTTCTGGTGTAGGTGGGTCTTAAACCCAGGCCTCCTAGCTCAGAGGTAGGGTCACTACAACTGTGCCACAAGAGCCCTGATGGTAAAATATGAGGTGACTGAAGACCAGATGAATGTGTCTAGATATGTCAGACAACCGAAAGAGAAAACCTAATAACTTTCAAACTGTCTCCGTCAGCCAGGCAGAAACCAGTCATTCTCTTAACTATTTTATTTCGGGCAGATCTAGGGTGATGACAACCCAGAAGATCGTCACTATAACCACCATCCAATAGCAGACAGCCACAGTTTGGGAGTCCCCAGTGGTCCACATCAAAAGGAACACACATCTACAACCCCATCTATAGCTAAGAAAACCACAATAGAAACTCTCAGATGTTTGCCAGTCATGGGAACGCACAGCAATAATGCAGCACTGGGAAGATGGAAGATTTGCTGTGAGAAGGTGGGGGCTCACTTAACAGTTAGTTATTCGTATCCTAAATGATACCTTGGGCTGGACTAATTCACTCCCATTTCTTTGGGAGCCATGATTAGAGACACAATATTGTCAACAGCAACAAACAGATGTTGTTAATCAGCTTTGGTGTAGTGATGTATGATGTATGATGTATTAAATTTACCAACTTGCAGCAAAGACCCATTAAGTGCTCACCAATGTATCATCTGCTGAGGTTGGGATAATTAGAATTGGGCAACACCAAGGGAGCACAGAAGAACTATGATTCACAGTCCAGGGTGCAGAATATGCTCTTACAACCATATATGTGCAAAGAGAAGGTATAAAAAGGATTAACCCTATTGTCCTAGGTAATTATTAAAATCACTGACTCCCAGTCCAAGTAATGTGGCTCAGAATTTAATAGATAATGTTCAACCATATACTGGAGATAAGATTTAGAATTGCATCTTGACAAATACATCAAGCAGTAAAATCATTAGATCTTCTTGATCAACTTCAGGAGAGGTAGGAACTAGTGGTCACACAGCCTATGGCTTGACAGAATGGTGAACGTGGGGAACATAAGCTAGTTCCTGATGGTTGTGCAATAGGAACGTGAAAATGGAAGTTGTAAATGTTTGAATCTCTGACAGTGGTTCAGTTGAAAGATCCTGGGGAGGTGGGTTACAATCCACTCCCAAGGTTTGAAATACACTCTCTAGATGACCATAACAGAAAGATGTACCAAAACACAGCACTACACCATTTGCTCCTCTAATACTCTAAAACCCCATCAGTAGCGATTCTGCCTCAGCCAGTTCTCTTGAAAAGTCATAGAATCATAGAATCCCTACAGTATGGAAAATAGGCCCTTAGGCCCAACAAGTCCACACCGACCCTCAGAGCATCCCACCCAGACCCATCCCCCTATAACCCAGCTAATCTACACATCCCTGAACACTACGGGCAATTCATCATGGCCAATCCACCTAGCCTGCACATCTTTGGACTGTGGGAGGAAACCCACGCAGACACAGGGAGAATGTGCAAACTCCACACAGACAGTTGCCCAAGGCTGGAATCGAACCCGGGTCCCTGGCGCTGTGAGGCAGCAGTGCTAATCACTGAGCCACTGTACCACCCGAGGCAATTCAAACTTCCCCTACCCGTTGCTGTATTCTGATCAATAGGATGATATGCATCTATGCAAGATTGGAATGTGGCAATGACCACACCTTCTGTATACGCTGAGACTTTTGCCTCATGCGAGACTTTTGCCTCATGGGCAGGGCCCTTACTGGTTATGTGTTCAGTCCATGGTGGAATGGCACATTAAACATGAACAAGACCCTGGAAATGTAGTCCAGGGGGTAGTGGAAAAGGCCTTAGTCACGAATAACACAACTATTGAGAACAGCCATCAGACAATCACAAGGTGAAGGCTCTGAGTGGATCTAGTCAAAGGCACTGCAAAATTATTAGAGGAATATGACAGCGATTAAGCCAAAGTGGCAAGAACGCTGTTTGACCAGTGGGACCAGAATACAACACTCACCGACCAAATGCTGATGATATTCATGATGTATAAAAATAGTGATAATGGAAAACAGGGATATACTATAGAATCCTCCACAGTTAACACACTCCAAAAGAAGGAAGGATGGGATATCATTTAAGTGAGAAAAGTTTCAAATTTAGCTCAGGTCATCAGGACTTTGGTGACACCAAGTATATATGAGATCTGAAGTTAGTTGAAATCCAGTCGGATCCTAGAGGTAATGGGGTGTGGGAGGTCTTGGGAAATGTTCCTGTGTCATTACTGGCCTGAACAGTGGTCCAAAAGCTGTGACTGTAAGGGGACAACAAGGGAAGGTAATATTAGGTGCTACGGTAATATTTGCTTGTGATGTGTTTGAAAAATGCAAAACAAAATGAGCCAGAAACAAGATGCCAGAAGGCAAATGAGTCTTAACATTGCAAAATTGTATAGTGGAGCACAGGACTGCCTGAACAAATAGCAGAGTTTGTAGAATGGAGCATGCTCTCAGATTGGAACTTGTGCTCCCTTGTTTCAATGCTTGAAATAAAAACTCTGGCTTACTTGAATCCCAAAGACTTGACAGTGGTCTTTTCACCACAACAATGATAAATCTACCAATGAAACAAGTGAACTGGTGACAACAGTTGAGTATCAATCACTGGACACGATAACTTTAATGAGGGTTGAGAACATAAAACGGAGGGGCAGAAATAGGCTATTTGGCCCATTGATTCCACTCCCCTGTTCAATGAAATCATGGCTGATCTTCCATTCCTAACTCCGCTTTCCCCCTTTATTCTCATTACAGTTATTTCTGGAAACATAGAAAATAGGAGCTGGAATGGGCCTTTCGGCCCTTTAAGTCTGTTCCACCATTCAATATGATCATGGCTGATCATTCAACTCGGTACCCCATTCCTGCTAACTCCCCATAGCCTTTGATCTTCATAGGAAAATCCCTCCATAATTGGATCGAACTAGTGAATCTTCTCTGGGCTGCTTCCAACATCAGTATATCTTTCCTGAGATAAAGGGAGTGAAGCTTTTCAGAGTATTCTAGGTACAACACTTCCCAATTTTTAATACTCCATATCTTTTGAAATAAAGGCCAATATTCCATTTGCCTTCCCCATTATCTGTTGAACTTGGATGCTAGCTTTTTGCTATTCATGGTCTAGGACACTCAAATCCCTTGGAGTTGCAATTTTCAGTGGTCTGTCCCCATTTAAATAATATGCAGTTCTTTTATTCTTCCTGCCAAAATGCACAACCTCACATTTCCCATTTTATATTCCAACTGCGAAGTTATTTTTCCCATTCATTTAACCTGCCTTTATCCCTCAACAACTCCACGTGTCATTCTCACTACGTGCCTTTCTACTTATTTTTTGTCAGCTGCAAACTTGGAGATAGTACACTCACTACTGTGATCCAATATATATTAACATATATTGTATATAATTGTGGTCCAGCACTGATATCTGTTGTACTCCACTAGTTACAGGCTGCCATCCTGAAAATATCCCCTTTATCTCAACTCTTGTCCTTAGTCAGTCAATCTCCTATCCATGCTAATATACTACCCCCAACACCATTGGACTTGTGTACAGTATTTTACCAAATGCCTATGGAGCAATGTGAAAAATACCTTGTACAGGAGAAGGAACTGTTGATGAATCAGAATAATTGGTTGAATGCAGAATTAAAAGTCAGATTGATGAACATTTGGAACTTGTTGTCAAATGACGTCTGAAATCTGACACAATCTGGAAAGGATTTGCAGCTCCTGGAGGGAACTGCTGCGGACTATGAAGATACAGACCACTGAGAGAATGCATTTTGTCAATAGTTAAAGGAGTTGAGGGCCAAGATAAAGGGTGCAGTAGAATGTAGCTTGCTAGGAAGGAGAAAGGGAAGCAAGGAGTCACAAGATGTGCTGAAGTCAACAAAGAAGGTTTCGTAAAGTTGTCCCTGGAAAGCCTGAGTTCAGCTCGAGATGGCGATAGAATGAGGTGATAATGTTTTACTGTTCTAACTTTGATACAGGTATTTCTCCTATAACACGATAGTTGTGCTCTTGACCTCGCACTGTAGAAAATCGCCATAGAAAATCGTGTTATAGGGAAATTGCTGTAGAAAATCGCTACACCTATAGAGCACAAAGCTCGTGTTATCCAAATGTTGTCCACTATTCATAAATCGTGTTACAGCCAATTCGCGTTAACGAAACGCACGCTATAGCAGAAATACCTGTAGGTATTTTTGTTTGCTTGCTCAAAATTGTGGAATTTAGTGGTTTTATTCTCTTTGTCTGTCCTTGGGATCTTACACTTTGTCTGCTTCAAAAAACATTACTGGTCCCTGTTTAGACTGTAACATTATTTTGGTGGTTTTGTCTAGGATCATAACCGTTGCAGTCCTGTGGAGGAGTGGGAACCTCACCAAGGACACAAATTTCAGATGAAACAACATATTCAAGTGTTTGAGAGGAGAAGAAGGTTGGCAGGTTATGAGGACTATTGTTTTTTTTGAGGGGATAGCTGTACATGGCGATCTGGAGGAGGGAGGAGCAGTGTTTGAAAAGAGAGAAATGTTAACAATATCAGCTAATATTTTAGACCAGGAATAACCAGTGCAAACTTTCTCAGTCATTTGTTAAGCAACTCAGTAGTTTAGGAAGACTAATGTCCATCTTCACAGTCTAGGAATCTTCAAGTTCAACTCCTTTTAGCCATATGGCCATATTGTTCTGCCTTATTTACACATTCTTACTTAATAACAAGCTGTCTTCATTCTGAATAAACTTGAATGTCATATTTCATTTATCAAGAGTATATACCATTCTCATCAGTTCTTAAAGAAGTTGCACCTGATAGTATGTTCACAACATTTCCAAATCCAATACTGAATTAAAATTTTAGAAACACATTTCAAATATAAATGCTAAGTGACATGGGAATTTTTATGCACCAGATAACTGATGATTAAGAAAATAAATCTTAAAATAATGGATTTTAAAAAAAACAAACTGTTCTATTAAATTAAAATTATAGGTTCATAACACCTTAGAGGACTATTCAGTCCACTTGGTCTGCACTAGTTGTTTCAAATAATAATCCAGTTAGACTCAAACCTCTTTCTTTTAATAATTCCTCCATAACCCTCCATTTCATTTTGAACTTCAAATAGTTATCACTTTTGCTTTTGAAATTTATAAATAAATCTTTTTCCATTACCCTATCAGGCAGAGTGTGCATTTCAAATCCTAACAAGTTATTCTTCGTGTCACCTTGATTTCTTGTATGGATCATCTTAAATCTTCTGGTTAGCAAACTTTCAGCTACTGGAAACAATTTCTTTATTTATTGTTATCAAATCTCTACTTTGCATTCACCACACTAAGGAAAACAGTTAATTTTCTCCAGGCTATCCACCTTGGAATTATTCTAGTAAACCGAACCTTTACCCTCTCGAAAATCTTAACCCCTTTCCTAAAACATGATACCTCGGTTTAGAAACAATAATTCAAACCAAAGATGAATTACGGTCCTACAAAGTTGCCAGGGTTGATATAATTAAAGTAGCTTGGACACCACCACACAGCTACAAACAGTAAAGTTGCCACAGTTCCAGAGGACCAGAGGGCAGCTCTCTCATCAGTGACAGACAACTGGTGGCGAGTTTAACTTAAGGGTGAGTTTAACCGGAGGATCACCACACTTCAGGCAAGGGGCAAGGTTGAGAAGGTGGACCTTTATGGTAACCTCAGGCAGTGTGGGAATTGAATACATGCTGTTGGTGTTACTCTGCATCACAAACCAGCCATCCAGCCAACTCAGCTAACCAACCTCCTCTACAAACAGCACATAAGTGGTGAGACATGAAATCAGCTCATAACTTAGTATCCACCTAACCCACATGCAGAGATGAAGAGACAACTTATGGCTACTTTTATATTTCATTAATAAAAGAAAACATGTAGAAAAGTTTAAAGCAATGTAGCTCTTATCAACAATACAAAAAAATCATATTACAAACAGCCAATCACAGGCAGCACGTCAGTATTGAATAAAATATTCAGTTTATTAACTGAACAATTAGCAGTACTGCATCAATTTCTATTTTCGAAAGCAGGCACTGTTGCTAAGGACAAACCAATGCCACATTAATTGATCTATTCACACTAATTTGTAAATTCTCTGTTCTGTAGGTAGCTGTGCTGACAGCAAGCCTTATCAGTGCAGTAGTACTGAATTTAGCTCTCAATCATTCATGCAGTTCTGGATACAATTTCCAAAGGTAAATTTTTCTTAAATTGCCATTAACTATGATTATCGTTTTCATTTTATTGAAATCTTAAACCATGTTTTACAACAAGTATTATACCCTTAAGCAGAGCTGAAAAGAGCTTGATTAATTCTGTTCCAATAAAACAGGACTGAACTGGAGATTCCAAACACAAGGTGTCAGAAGATAACAATGGCTTCCACAAGACTGCAGATTTTTGCACTCTTTTTGTCCTTATTTGCTTTCCTAGGAGCAGTTGCAACCACAGCGCTTCCAAACTGGAAGGTTAATACCTTTGAAAAATCAAATGTAATCTCTACGACAACACAGATGCAAGGTCTGTGGATGGACTGCACATGGTATAGTACAGGGCTCTTCAGCTGCAGGTTTAACTTCTCCATCTTAGACCAGCCAGTGTACATGCATGCCTGCCAGATTTTGATGCTTCTGTCATGTATTATATCATTGGTGGGAATTGGGATTTCCCTGCCTGGTATGACGTGTATAAGATGCAGAAGACATCAAGGCTCAAAACGTTGTGCTGCCGTAACAGGAGGGGTCTGTTTCATTACTGCGGGTATAACGTGTTTAGTTTCAGTGTCTTGGTTCACAGCTGAGCTCATAAGCCACTACTTCAAACCATCTGTCTCAGAAGAAAACAGATATGAAATAGGAGGAGCAATATACTCTGGATGTATTTCTGCAGGGTTCCTATTTATTGCAGGTGCAATTTTCTGCACATCGTGCAGAAAGCCACAAAGAGAAAATGTTGAATACTCAAACAGACTGCACTACCCCAAACACCAATCTTTGGGAGATGAGGCAGGCTATTCTCTTCGACATGATGTGTAAAGAATTACAATGTACTTGTAGCTATGTCTTACGGTGTCATTTTACTAAGACTGCTACTTGGAAATCTGACAAAAATATTCTTAGTTTCAATTTATTCTTCACAACAAGAATGTGCAGATACTGAAGACTATTGTAATAAATGTTCAATTGTCTAAATTAAAAAAAAATATTTTCCAGTAGGTTTCAAACATGGGAGGGCTACTTATAAAAGCAGTTTTTTTTATTTTGTAAGCCAAATCATTTTAGGCAATGGAACAAAAGACAGCCATTGTATAAACTTGTTTTGTCAGTTGTAGGCTACATTTGGATCAGTACAGATAAGATGATATTTATCTCTAATAATAATGTAAAATACTAATTTACAAAAACCATTATTAAACAAAAATAATGCTGCTTAATTAAAGAAAATACTACAACACCAATTTCATTTTGTTCAAGTGCATTCAAAATCTTACGCTTGTCACTAGAATAAATTACAACACATGCAATATTTCTTTGTAAATCTAAAGTGGATGGCCCCCTCACATTGAACGATGGTAAGACTATACTTGGAGTGCTGTGCACAGTTTTGGTAAGATGGCGACCAGAAGGATGTAAACGCACTGGAGAAGGTTACAAAGGATTTAAAAGGTTGATGTTATAGCAATTAAGCAAGAGTAAATAAGGTTTATTTTGAGCCCTCTTCTCGTAGCTTCAGAAGTGACCTATTAGAGGTCTTTGAAATGATTCATTTTGATGGGATATACACGGCGTTTAAAGGCTATCAAGATAGGAGTCAATAATACATCAAATAGAGAAACTGGAAGCAACTCAGAATGTAAAAACAGTCTAGCACATTAATTATCGGAGACAAACTCCGATACATTTAAAAGGGAAGTTAGGAAAACATAAGAAAGAGGAGAATTAAAGATTATGTTGACATGAGTTAGATGAGGATGCATGGGAGGAGGTTTAAATGTAGTATACACTGTCAAGCATTGATTGGACCAAACAGCCTGATGCTATGCTGTGTACCCTTCTGTAATGCTATGTAAAAATGGAATACATAATAGTAAGCATGGAAGCTTCTCTCTTTAAAAAAATCACTTTTGCTTATTTTTGTAAAAACCGAAAGAACTGCAGATGCTGTAAATCAGAAACAAAATTAGAAGTTGCTGGAAAAGCTCAGCAGGTCTGTCAGCATCTGTGAAGACAAATCAGAGTTAACATTTCAGGTCTGGTGACCCTCAGAATTGAATGTTCAGGTTAAATAATTACATTTTATTATAATAACTCTTCAAGCTAACAGTGGAAAAAAAAAGGCTTATATGCTTTTACTAATTAGGTGACAGGCAACCTATAAGCAGGAACATTTTCAAGATTAACCGGCACAATAGTTCATAATTCTCAGCAAAACACAACCAGAGGTGATATGGAGATGGATACAGCAGAGTTGAAAAACAAACAAAGCAAGAACTAAGCACAAATTAATCTTCACAGCCTGCATTCCCTCTAATGCAAACACATTCTGCTTGAGTCCTTCACTGTTCAGTTAAAAAGTGAGCTCCAGCTGTCCTTGCTTTTCAATCCCTGCTTTTAACTGTAACCGTAACTATGGTTACAGAATTTATCAGGATCCATCTTTGCTTTCATACATTTGCCTTCAGCCTTGCTGTTACCATTTATGGCGCGCAGCTGCAATTTTCATTCAAAACCATGTGGCCTCATTTCAGAGCGCAAACATCAAAGAAGAATTATGAAAAACAGTATCTGAATAACCTTATTTAAGAACTCCAGCTCGTTTTCCCATTCCCACCACATAAATCGACCACCACCAACACCAACACCAACACCAACCACCACCCCGCCCCTGTGGCTCCAGTCTTACAGAAACTGTATCTGTGCACTGGCTTTACTTAAGAATTTTTTTACAATTATGGCATGCTATATTTCATATGGTTCAAACAGACTTTGGTTACATCTAAGATTCTGCACAGCTGGGATGCTACAAAGGAATTTCAAGTAAAAATGTCATCCTCAGTATTCATTTCAGAGAATGTATTTAAACCACATCTTAAAATATTAGTAAACAATGTAATTGGTTTAAACTGAGCTTCGTTCAGTCAAATTGCCAACAAAATGTTCCTTTAAAATCACCAGTTTTTGTGGGTAAGAACATTCAAGCAATGAAGAATAAGTTAGCTATCTACCAAATGCTTAAAAACGCTAAAATATTTTCATCACGGCATGGTGGCTCAGTGGTTAGCACTGCTGCCTCACAGCACCAGGGACCCGGGTTTGATTCCACCCTCCGGTGACTGTCTGTGTGGAGTTTGCACGTTCTCCCTATGTCTGTGTGGGTTTCCTCCAGGTGCTCCGGTTTCCTCCCATAGTCCAAAAATGTGCAGGCTAAGTGGATTGGCCATTCTAAATTGCCCGTAGTTTTCAGGGATGTGTAGATTAGGTTATAGGGGGATGGGTCTGGGTAGGATACTCTGAGGGTCGGTGTGGATTGTTGGGCCGAAGGGCCTGTTTCCACACTGTAGGGATTCTATGAAATAAGAATTTACATACGAACATACAAAAATGGTTGAGATCAAGAGATTCAACGAGTATTGCCCAGACAATAACACTGCAACTAAGCATCATAAACCCCACGCAACAGCAGCCATGTATATCGGAGAAGCAAAACGTTCTTCAACCACAGCAGGAGACAACATGTAGTTAAAAGGAGAATCACTGCGTAACCATACAACCTTAAAGGGGGCAGAGAAAGTTAATAAGGCAGTTAATTAAGTATATGGGATACTTGGCTTTGGGTGCAAAACATTGAATGAAAAAACAAGGAAGTAATGTTAAACCTTTACAAGTCACTGATTAGTTCTCATCTGCAGTATCATGTGCAATTCTTGGCACCATACTTTAGAAATAATGTCAAGGCTCAGGAGAGGGTACAGAGGAGCTTCACAAGGATTTTGCCCTTCTGGTATGTACAGAGATATTGCTAGAGTTATGGTTGCTTTGCTTAAAGACCACAGATTTAGATCTTCCCTTATTTATCTATAAGTACTCAAAATTATCAGACGTTTTGATACACACATAAGTTGGCATCCAGAGGTAATAAATTTAAAATTATTTGTAAAAGAACTTAGCGCATAAATAAAGAGAAATTACTTTACACAGTGTTCTGTGATCCAAAATGCATTATAGAAAGAGTAGAAGAACCAGGTTCCACAGAGCGTTGAAAAGACAATAGGACATGTAGTTGGAAAAGCACTAGTTTGCAGTGTTAAGGAGAAAAAGCTGGAATGTTGTGGGAATAAACAGACATCTTTTTCAAAGACCTTTCAAAGAAGGGATGAATGGCACCTTTCTGTGCTGTAAGGTACCATAAGATCTGCACCTAATAGATGAAATAAACCTGAAATATAAAGCAAGGAGTGCACTTCTAACAACCTCCGCAAGGCCATTTGAGATGCTAAGAGGAAGTACCGGACTAAGTTAGAAACCCAAACTAACCACATGGACATCTGCCGCCTGTGGTGAGGCCTACACGACATAATGGGATGCAAAACGAAGCAGAACAGAATAGCAGAAAAAGACACATCCCTCCCTGATGCGCTCAATGTTTTTTACACTCAGATCAGGCATAATGCCAGTGGAATTGTGTCACCTGCCCCAACAGCCCCAGATACACCTGATCCATCAGTTACCGCTACAGCCATCAGATCGGCCTTCTTGAGAGTGAACCCAAGGAAAGCGATGGACCCAGACTGAAACCACAGCTGTACACTCAGAACCTGTGCAGACCAGCACGCGGGACAATTCACTGTCATCTTTAACCTCTCCTTGCAACAATCTGAAGTCCCCACCTGCTCCAAGAAGACCACCACCATCCTGGTACCAAAGAAAATACAATGCAACGTGCCTCAATGACTACTACCCAGTGGCTCTGACCTCCATAATTATGAAGTGCTTCCATAGGTTAGTCATGGCTCACATCAACTCTAGCCTCCCAGCCTGCCTCGATCCTTTGCAATTTGCCTATTGGAACAACAGGTCTATGGCAGATGCCATTTCCCTAGCCTTACAACCATTCCCTGGAACTTCTGGATAATAAGGTTACCTATGTCAGGCTTCTACTTATCGACTACAGTTCCGCCTTCAACACTACAATCACAACCAAACTAATCTCCAAACTCAGAGACTGAGGTCTCTGCTCCGCCCTTTGTAACCGGATCCTCAAATTCCTGACCCATAGACAACAGCACCTCCTCCATGACAATCCTCAACAACGGCGCCCTGCAAGGATGCATACTTGACACCCTACTGTATGCCCTGTACACACGACTGTGGCCAAATTTCATCCAAACTATTTACAAGTTCACCGATGACAGCAGCCTTTTAAGCCGGATATCAAACAATGACGAGACAGAATACAGGAAGGAGATAGAATGCTTGGTGATGTGGTGCAAAGATAACAAACTCTCCCTCAATGTCAGCAAAACCAAACAGCTGATCATCGATTTCAGGAAGCAAGGAGGACATGCCCCCATCTATATCAATGGACATGAGTTGGAGAGGGTTGAGAGCATTAAGTTCCCTAGGAGTGACGATAACCAACAATTTGTCCTGGACCACCCACATGGATGCAACAGTCAAGAAGACACAACAACATCTCTTCTTCCTCAGGGAGCTAAGGAAATTCAACATATTCATAACGACCCCCACCAACTTTTACAGATGTATCATATAGAGCATTCAATCTGGATGCATCACAGCTGAGTATGGCAGTTGCTCTGCCCAAGACCGTAAGAAACTACAGAAAGTTGTGAACACAGCCCAGACCATCACACAAGCCAACCTCCCATCCACTGACTGCATCTACAGTTCTCTTTGCCATGAAAAGGCAGCCAATATTATCAAAGATCACTCCCACCCTGATTATAACCTCTTCCATCAGACAGAAGATACAAAAGCTTAAACGCAATTACCAACAGGTTCAAGGACAGTTTCTGCCCCGCTGTTATTAGAATGCTGAACGGACCTCTAAAATTTCAAATCTAATGTTGATCTTGCTTTTGTACACCTTCTGTGCAGCCATATCTTTGTATGCCTCTCTCTGTTTAGTCACCCTATGATCTGTACAACGTTGTATGTTATGATCTGTACACTTTTGTATGTTATGATCTGCCTGTACTGCATGCAAAACTAAAAACTTTTCAGTGTACTTAGGTACATGTGACAATAATAAATCAAAACAAATCAAATCAAAAACAAATCAAACTCACATTAGGGACTCTTTAAACATTAGTTAGATGCACCTTACCTTAGGTTTTGGAACAAAGGCTCTGCCCGGAATAGTAAAACAGCTCTTTACATTACACAAGTATTGAGCCATTATAGACAGTCTACTTCTTTGTCTACTGCCAGTACTTGCTGTGAGACGCTGGAAAAGAAAGTATGTAATTTCAAAATCTATAATGCATACATTTAAAAAGTAATGTTATACAGTTTACTTACATGAGCATAAAGTGAGCTCATGAACAAATAAAACAGTCACTGAATTATATTGTATTCAGTCACAATGAGTGAAGGCACCTTTAATTTTATTAGTACCAGACACTGGTTGCAGTTATTCCATTCTTTCAGAGGTAAATAACAAGTCACTGAGTGAAAATAGTATGATTACTTGATACAAGTTTAATTTTTATACCTCATTTGCAACCAGAAAAACTAATGGGTTAGACTTTGCAAAGTGGCTTGTAGCTGCTGTCCTTCTGTCAGCATTTGCCCTCCGAAAGTGCTGCAACCTCAGGATGTCAGTATTTACAGATATGCATAGAAATCCTGATGATGCAGTCTGCTACTAAAGCTCCACAACAGTATAATACGTTTCAGCTTCACAGTCAATCATTGAAAACAGCAACAGTTTCAACATTGCTGCTTACAAATCAGTGTTGGAAATCCCATAGTTAGATCTCTCAGTGTGGCTTACTTTACTGTCTGACCGTCAGCAGTGAAAATCCAGCCAATCTATTAGAGTTTTAAGGTAAAGGGATACCATACTAATGCTAAACTATTTGTCATAATTGAAAAGAAAAATGATGAACTGACTTTGACAACAGACTGAGCTGGCAAACAGTGTTGGAATAATCATGCCGCACTGATCTATAAGGCATTCCAAAATGTAGAAAATCCCAGTTAGACCATCAAAACAACTGATTTACTTGACGGTTGCCATTCAGGACAGAAGCAATTCATACTAACTTTCATCATTAACAGAAAATAATTATTTATTGTAACATTTAACTTTAACCATAGACAGAGAAAAGAAAGGATTTCTAACCTACTAATATGCAACCTAAACCATACCCCTTCAAAACTCCCAAATATACACACACAATTAAAAAGACAAATAAGTTTGACACAGTTATAATGGGTGGAAAAATAACACAGTAAACAAAATTCTGAAGATCACAAATCAAGATTAAGGCTTAGTTAAGTTTTCTCACGCAGTACTTTTAATTTTTTTTTTAACACTGATGACCCGCTGTTGTCCATAGAGTGATGGACATTCTTTGTTTTGTTAGCTGACTGGGTCAACCCAAATCTTTTCTTGTACTGAAATCTTTGTTTTAAGATTGCTTGATTTTCAAGCGAGGGAGAGAGAGAGAGACAGACAGACACCAGAGAGAGAGAGAGACAAGAGTTGGGAGTGAGGAGATGTATGATTGATTTCAATTTGCAGGATGTTTCTCTATATTACCCTGGCACTAACAGCTTTTTAACATTCTGGATTCCAACCAGAGGGCTGTCATCAGGCACACTTACCTTTACTCCCAGTGCATGAGTGGGTAAATGGATATTGGAAAAGAATTCTCCCCCTCAGGGCTTAAAAAGAGCAACACTGCACTGCACAACTCAGAAATATGCAGCATTTTATTTTCAAATTGCAAAACTCTCCTGGTATTTCAGTTACATAGCAGTCCAATATCCACTTCAGCTTATTGTCCCAAAAAGAGAGAAATGGGGTCTTCCAACACATTTTGATAGTGCTGCTTTACAACAACAAAGTACTGACTAGATCCAAACAAATCAGGTAAAATTAATTTGATTTGAAGACCATCCAGTTGTCATGACAGCAGTAATATCTGAGCAAAAAATTAGCTAATTGACATCTGACAGCCCCATTAAGCAAATACTTGACAGCCACTTAAAAGGGCCTAGTAGCAAAAACAGAATCTTCAAAGGAAATTCACAAAACTAAACTTAAATATGAAGCCCTGCAGCAGCTATCTGTCACGGAAAGCCTCAAATACAAGTGGCCAACACATGGACATAATGGAAGAAAGGCAGGCAGTCAGGTATAATGACCCTCTCCATTGTGTGCTGCCTGAAGCAAGGTTAATGGTCACCTTGGCAGGCTCAGGGGCAGACCCATAAGGAGGTCCTTTGATAAGTCCTCCACCCTGTTCCATTCTACCCTGGATGGCCAAAGATTTTGGGGAAGGGGATTTGGGGGGAAAGGGGGAAGGCGGAGGTGGAAGAGGGTGGAGGGGTAAGGGAGAGGTGGGGGAACAGGTAAGGAGGAAGAGGTAAGGGAAGGGGGAAGGGAAGGCGTAGGGAAAGGGCCAGAGGCCAAGTCAGTTTAAGTAAAGTGAGCAGAGAGGGGGTGTGAGCAGGGGGAGAGTCTACTCAGTGCATGAGTGGGGAGATGGATATTGGAAAAGAAGGATCCTGCTGAATGCCAACCCCTGCACTTGCTGAACTCCACCCCTCTCTCAATGACCCTGAGAGCTGAGACCAATCTACATTACTAACTGAGGAGCAAATTCCTGCAGATGGTGGAATCTGAAGTGAAAACAAAAAATGCTGGAGATCACAGTGGGTCAGGCAGCATCCATGGAGAGAAAGCAAGCTAACGTTTTGAGCCAAGATGACTCTTCAGAGCTGAAATGAAATGTGGAGGGGGCAGCATTTATGCAATAGTGGAAGGGAGGATGATTGGAGTGCTGGGGGAGAAAGGATGTTGAGAGTTCAAATTAAATTATCCAAATGTGAGAATGGCGGAATAATGGTGTGTATAACTACCAGACTGGAAAGAGCAGACAGTCCCACTGGGCTGGGGGAAGGGGAGAGAGGGTAACAAATAATGTAACAAGCAAAGCTAAAAAGGAAAGAAAGAATGGCTTCATAATTTGAAGGTGTTGAACTCAATATCGAGCCCTAAAGGTTGTAAACTGCCTGGTTTGAAGATGAGATGTTGCCTAGTAGATGCTTTTCCTGCAGCAGCCACCACCTTTCCTGTGGCACTGTTGAGCACAAGAACAGCTGGTCTGTGATTGGCCAGCAGCCCTCAGGTGGCAAGACCTGTCCCCAGGGTCTTCAGTCAAGGAGAAGGCCCACCATTGTCTCAACACTGTCTGATCGGCTTATGGTTTGGAATCTTTCTTCCATGTCATATTTTTCACATTTTCATCTTTGCTTCATCTTTTTGTACTTTGTACTTTCTAACTGCTTTCATCCTCCATTCCTCCTCCTTTCCCCAAGCCCCACTTCTAAGTTTAAATGCCTTCTCGCTCCCCTGTACATCAATTTTGCCCATTCATTAATTCCTTCCTGTTCAAATAGAGCTTAGGACTGTGAAATAGTTCCAATCTTCTCTAGGACTGATACCAATCTCCCATAAAACGAAAGCTCTCTGCAACACACTTCCTATAAGCAGTCCTCTAGTGAGATTCAAAGCACCTTGATTTTCAAGTAAGTTATCAAGTAATCAATTGCAACATTAAATGATAGTCAAAATTTTCCAGTTCCCAGAAAGGGGCAAAAGCCATGACCTGAGCTCCTAACAGCCAGAGCTTAGGAAATCAAATTATCAATTCCCATCCTGGTAGCTGTGAGCACGCCATTGACATCATCAGTGATACCACAGTCATCAATCATTTCATGATTAGTAGTGATTTACATCCCATCAAGAGGAACACAGCAGACAGCAATTTTAAACTGTAGCACAAACTTATTTTGTCTTCCTCCTGTCAATCAGAAGACTACTGACCAAGCTTTCTTTTACAAATCCACTACAGATAAGGGTTTCATTTCCTTCTGGTTTTGGAGTCAACACAACAGATGGAGATGCAGGAAATTATAAAAATGACATCTTTTACAAAATTAAAACCAAAAAATGGGAGTTGAGAGAGTCCTGCCCCAATTCAAGCTCTATGCCTGATACTAGAAAATCAGCCTTACTGTTTAAAGAAAGCGAGCAGCGAGTCAGGCATTTCTCAGATTAAAAGAGCAAGCAGTGAGCAGGGGTACGAGCGGTGAGCCAAGGAGGTTGCAGCTGCATGCTCCTTGGTAGAGCCTTGGTGCTGAAGTCACAATTCCACAGAGACACAAAGCAAGAACCAGCTGATGAACTTTACTAATCTTCATATTGTTTTATACTATTTTAATAAGTTTTATGGTGCTTTTAGTGCTGATAGTTTTGAAAGTCTTATTTTTGTTTTAAAGTACATAAGGGGCTATAGTTCAGTGATCCAAAGTAGAAGGGCCCTAGAATTAATATTGCGTGAATTCAAGGGCAATCTAATCATTTATTCAAAGGTTTAAAAGATAGAAGGAGAACTCAAGGCCACAGCATTCTCCTCCTGCTCTTTGCAGCTACAGAACATTCTGAATTGGGATGGTGAGCAGCCATTGGTTTCGCACACATCAGTACTAACAACATAATTAAGAAAAGAGATGAGTTCGTAAAGGCAAAATATAGGGAGCTAGGAAGTAAGTTAAAAAATAGGGTCTCAAAAGGTAATGATCTCAGGAACACTTGTTGTGCCTTGTGTCAGAGTAGAAATAGCAGGATATCTCTGACGAATTTGTGGTTGATGAGATGGTGTAAGCAGGAAGAGTTTCAGATCCCTGCGGCATTGAGATCAGTTCTGGGGTGGGTAGCACCAGTACACGCTGGACAGATTGGTCCTGGGCAAGAACAGAATTGATGTCCTAGGGAATATATTTGCAAGTACGGTCGGGAAGGGTTTAAATTAAAATGACAGGAGGATAGGAACATTTATAGAGAGATACACTACAAGAAAATAAGGACTACAACAAAAGGCAGAGTGGGAAATAAGAAAGGAAATAAAAAATTCAAGGACTATAATTGAGCAGGGCCACAGTGAACGGGACTAAGAATCATAAAAAGACGAGCATTAAGGCCTTGTGATTTAACACATGGAGAATCTGAAATAGAATGGATGAACTGCACAACAGATCTAAATGGGTATGATATAGTGGGGAATACACACATGTAGCTGTAGGGTGACTGGGAATGGGAACTGAATATCCAGGATTTTCAGTTTTTAGAAAAGACAGACAAAAAGGGAATGGAGGTGGGGTAGCACTGCTGTTTGAAAAGGAAATTATTGTGATTGTAAGTAAGGATATTAGCTCTGGTGATTTAGAATCTATGTAGGTTGAGCTTAGAAATACAAAGATACAAAGGGAAAGAAAATAGTAGGGATCCCATATAAACCCCCAAATTGTAGTAGTAATATTGGGGAAGGCTTAAAAAAAGAGAAAATTAGAGATATAAGTAGGTACAGCAGGAATTATAGGCAACTTCAACCTGCATATGAATTTGGCATTTCAAAATCAGACAGGATTGGAGATAGTGTATTGAAACTGATTGAGGTCTGTATCCTCTCTGCCAACCAAAGAGTAGGAACAAATGGGTCTTTTTCTGAGTGGCAGGAGTGACTAGTGGAGTAACGCAGGGATCCGTTCTTGGACCCCATCTATCCTTAATAATGATTTTGATGAAGAAACAAAATGATATAGAATGAAACAATAACATTCCTGAATGAAGTGGAAGAATTAAAACAGATGCTGGATATTCACTTGAAGGTATAAGCTTTGGAACAAAATTGAAACTCAACACAGGAGTAGATGCTACAACATTGCCAGACAATTAGCCTTGATTGATGGCTGCGAGGGTGAGATCAGCTAACTTCAAGGTTCAAGAGACACAGATCTTCAGGTGTATGGTTAAATCACCATGAAACTTAGTCAGAGAGGCTAAAATGTCATTAAAACAGTAGATATTAAGGAATCAGAATATCTCATTGTTGAGCAGAAATGCATGTATTTGTCTAGATTTCTTAGAGGGTGGATTCCAAAACTATTTAAAGGCTTAGGTAACTAGAAACAGGATTGTTACATTGCAATACAAGATGATGCAAAATCCATCTGCCTATATCCTCCCAGGAAAATTCCTAATTCTTTAATGGGAAGAGTATAATCTCAGTTAGTCAGCAGAGTTGAAAATAGGCTTACATTTCCAGTAACAAAAAATGCACATGGGTACTCAGAGTTGGTAAGTGTTCCAAAGGCAAATGGTAGACTGTGTGTGGATCTCACTCAATTAAGCAAAAATTAAGAAAGAAATCCAACATATTTTGTCTGTCAATGACAGTTTAAAAGAAGTGGCAAAAGCAAGTTTTTCACACAACTGGATGCCAACAGTGGGCTCTAGCAGACACCATGAGATCAGAAGTCAAAATCGCTACATTATTTACACTTCCAGGAGAATTGCTTCAATCAACTATCATTTACGATTTCTTCTATACCAGCGGTTTTCCAAAGGTCAGTGTCTAGAATTCTGGAAGTTAAAGGGGGAAGCATTACAACGTAGATCTTAGTGCATACTACAGTGAAAAGGGAACACAACTAGCAGATCAGGGACATGTTAAAGGCAACACAGAATGGGAAATGCAAACTCTAGAGAATGACAATTACATTTCTAGGGCACATTATTCAACAAGACGGCCTCATGGTGGGTCCAACGAAGAGAAGAACCATAGGTGACTTTTCAGCAAAATGTATAAATAAATAATGTACAGTATTGTTAGGCATGGTGAAAAAGTGGGAAAATTCATCCCCAACTTAGCCAGTCTCATTCAACACATAAGAGAGCTGATTAAGAGAAAATGGCCCGAGTATTACTGGAATCTGGAGCCAACCGTAGCTTTTGAAAGAATTAGAGAGAAGTTATTTTCTATCGATGTCTAAGCATATTACAATCTAGGCTTGTTCACTACAGTCACAGTTGTTGGAGCAGCCCTTATTCAAGTGCATACTGACCGAATGTGAAACCCACTATATTTTTGGGTACTTTAGTGTACTAAGGTACTTTAGTGACTGAAGAGTTATGCAATGATAGAGGTGGAAGCATTAGCAGGTACATGAGGTATGATAGGTTCATAGACTACCTTATGGCACTCATCTTTCAACTTGAGAAACACCACAGGCTACTGGTAATACAACTGAGATTGAAAGAAGTCTCAAAAAAAATTCCTCCATGCAAACAAAAATTTGGGTTTAGGCTAGGAAGGCACAGATATGGTTTAGTCTATGTTCTAGGTCAGGCACAAATATAGGTACACTCTCAAGAGTAGAAATGGATTGAGCAAAATAAGAAGACTTTCTTGCAGAAGAATTTACAGCAATAACAAACACCTGAGTAAAACTCAGACAAAATTATGTAGCTCAAAAATTTGACAAGAAGTGCACAAATGTCAGACAACTCTGTCTACAGGGTGGTTGAAATATAGTCCAGAAGACCAAGTACAGAAAAGACACCAGAAACAGAAATTACACTTAACAATTATAGGAGATGTAGTGGTGTACAAACATTGAATACCAAAGTTTATTGTGAAGAGAAATCCTACAGAAACTCCAGGAGGGATAGTTAGAGAGTCATACAGCACAGACAGGCCCTTCAGCCCAACTCATCCATGCCAACCAGGTTTCCGAAACCAAAGTAGTCCTATTTGCCTGCTTTTGGCAATTAGGTATCACGAAGGCACAGCAAGAACACAACAATCAGTGTGACAGGTAGGCATAAAGGATTACACTGCCTCATGCCAAAAGTGCCTCAGATAGCCAAGTACCTACAGAACTAAATGATTTAATTAAGATTACCAAAAAGACCTTGGAACAGATTAGAAATGGATTTGTTTAATTTTAAAGGAAAGATGTATTTGAGTCAGCCATTATTCAAGATGAACTGAAGTGACAAGACTTCATTCAGCCACAGCACGCAGTGATCAGAGCACTGAAAAGGATCTGTGCAATACATGGTTTCCCAGAAGAATAAATATTGGAAAATGACATCAATTCATCAAAAAAGATTTCAGGTTGTTTACATTAGAAGTAGACATCAACCAGGTGACAATTTCTCCACTTCATCCTTACTCAGAGAAGCAGAAAGTACAGTCAAGGTCATTGAGTCAATGAGAACCCATGTAACACTCCAGACTGGGAATTAGCTCTACTTTGTTACAGAACAACACCACTGAAAACATACCCAGCAGAATTGTTAATGGACAGGAGGCTAAAAACAGATACCAGTTGCAGAACACAATCTCAGACCAAACATAGCCTCTTGAGACCAAAAGAAATTAGAAGAGTAAAGCCACAGCCAAAAGCAGCAGAGATGATACAACTCTAGACATAAGACAAAATTTCTGTCAACCTTAAAGCCAGAGCGGGGAGTCTGGGTAAGGGACAGAAATTCAGAAGCCACAGTCATTACAGAAACAGACGACCTGCGATCTTACATTGTGAGAATGCCTGAAGGCATATTCAGGTGAATGGGAAGGCACTGATCTTACTTGAGCTAAGAAATGAGACCAAACATGTTGACTATAGGATTTGGTACAGCTATATTAGACAATGTACAGAGTGCTACAACTGTTCCAGATACAGGACAATACCATCATCCTAGCACTGAATTCAAGCAAACCAGACTGGGACATCCAGTCAGGGCTCCAGATTGTATCGCTATTTAAGATTTGAACTTCGGTGGGGTGGTGACATTAATGATAACAAAGATTGCACAACTAACTAATTGGAAAGTACTGGAATAATGTAGACCAAGTCGACAGAAACTTCGGGGGTAGATCGGATGTGAGAAGATTCATATAAATCTTGATGATTAACTGATCAAATGAACCTAACATCAGTAAGAGACCAGTCTAGAATGATTATGTGAAAATAGAGCCTTAGATACTACACTACATCACTAATTAATAAACTACTACGTACAGGTGTAAATAAAAGGAATGTTAAAGCAAATGAGTAGTTGAACAGCATTACATAAATAATCAGGAGTCTCAGGAATCCAAGATACTTAGATTGATATCTCAATCTGCAAGTAGCTAATTGTCTCATTTCAAGAACCACACACAGAAATAAATCCAAAACCTACCTCTGCAACCTCCTTTTGAAATGTTAGTGTCATCTGTGTTCTCCCAAAGACAAACGGTCCATTGCGATTTGCAATATTCTCCAACCATTTGATAATAAGAGGTGTTGAAACACTGAAAGGAAGATTGCCAATGATGTGCACATTTGGTGGGTCTGTTCAAAAATTTAAAACACATGTAGTAAGTGATCGAATAGGGCTAGGACTCAAACGATCAGTTTGATGCACCATCTTTCAGAAGTGAAAAATCAGGGAGCAGTCCATTTAAAAAAATATAAATTGCTCCCCTACCACAGGGAGACATAATGATTCATTTAAAAGCAATAACCAACAACAGCGACAGATCAGCTGCTAGACTGGGTCAACGGCAGGTGGTGAGGGAGACCAACAAGAGGGAAAAACATACTTGACCTCAAATCTTACTAATTTGCTGGCTACAGATGCAATTGTCCATTACAATGTTGGTAACAGTGACCACCATTCAATACTTGTGCAGACGAGATTCTGCCTTCACATCAACAATCCCCCCTCCCATCGTGTTGTGTGGCACTATCACTGTGCTGAATGGGACAGACTTTGAACAGATCCAGCAGCTCAAGACTGGGCATCCATGAGGCGTTAAGGGCCATCATTAGCAGCAAAATTGAACCAAAGCACAATCTTCAACTTCATAACCTGACATATCTGTCACTCAACAATTATCAACAAGCCAGGGGGTCAACCCTGGTTCAATGGAGAGTGCAGGAGGGTGAGCTAGGAGCAGTAGCAGGCATACCTGAAAATGAGGTGTCAACCAAACAGGACTACCTTTGTGCCAAACCTCATAAGCAGCAACTGACAGGCAAAACTAAGCGATCCCACAACCAGTAGATTAGACCTAAGTTCTACAGTCCTGCCACATCCAATTGTGAACAAGATACGATTCTAACCACCACTCCTTGATATTCAATGGTGTTACCATCACTCAATCTTCCACTATCAACATCCTCAAGGGTTCCATTGACCAAAAATTCAACTGAACTCACCACTGAATACAGTGACTACAAGAGCAGGTCAGAGGCTAGGAGTACTGCAGCGAGTAACTCAGCTTGATTCCCCTAAGACTGCCCACCATCTACAAGGCACAGGTCAAGAGTGTGATGGAATACTCCCCAGTTGCCAGGACAGGTGCAACTCCAAGAAGTTTGACACCATTCAGGGCAAAGCAGCCCGCTTGACTGGAATCACATCCACAAGCATCCACCACAGATCCTCAGATGCAGCAGTGTAATGTCTACAAGATGCACTGCAGAAATTCACCAAAGATCCTTAGACAGTTCCTTCCATACCCATGACCATCTCCATCTAAAAGGACAAGGGCAGCAGATACATTGGAACACTACCACCTCCAAGTTCCTCTCCAAGCCACTAACAATCCTGACTTGAAAATATAACACCATTCCTTCACTGTTGCTTGGTCAAAATCCTGGAATTCCCTTCCTAAGGGTATTGTGGGTCAACTTACAGCATGTGGACTGAAGCGATTCAAGAAGGCAGTTCACCATCACCTTCTCAAGGGCAACTAGGGATGGCAATAAATGCTGGCCAACCGGTGACGCCCAAGTTCCATGAGTGAATAAATAAAACAACAAGGGCTGTGTAACCTTCACTTTCATAATGCGAGTTATTTGTTTATGGATCCAGTGGCTGCAATGATAGATTTTTAAACTTGAAGCCAGTCATATCTCAAAAGAAAAGCATCTAGCAACCGACCAATTAACTGAATAACATTTTTAATCAAGAAAAACTATATAACTCTGTTGACTGCACATCCCCTTGCCCTGAACCTTTATCTACAAACGTGCTGTGTTACCTACTCAAACATTAGTAATTTCACCAAAACATTTGAACATTCACTAGCTAACCCAAAGAGTATCCTCTTCCTACAAGTTATATTTCCTGATCTCTGGAAGTTCTCTAGGTAAGGAAAAATTGATCAGAATAGGGCTACAGGCATTTCTCTGCAATGTTTAAGTGTACTTTTTAGAAAGTAAACTGAAAGAAAACAACATCAATACAAACCCGATCCTCCTCTCTCCCCAATTATAACAAGAGTGTGGGTGTTGAGGTTGATGAGAAGATTAACACCATCAAAAGATCCAAAATATATTAAATAGAGCTGTACACTTCATTCAAAACAAACCAGGCAAGGTGAATATTTTGGGTATTTTTGGAACATATAAAAGTATTTAGATCCTGGAAATATGAACTGTAACTGCTGGAAGTATTCAGTAGGCCAGATAGCATCTACAGAGAGAGAAAGAGAGTCAACACTTCAGGTCTACAATCTTCACTAGTTCTGACCAGATGACTTCTGTTTCTCTCTGCACAGATACTGCCAGACAAGCTGAGCTAACACTTCCCATTTCCAGTGGAGTGAAAATAATCCCTTCTGCTAGTCTTCCATAAAGCACTCACTGCTTGTGAGTATTTGATTTCCCAGCAGCCCGAGATCTGGTTTGGCACAGCATTAAATAAATGTCAAAAGAGAAAAAGGAGGTTCATAAAAACAAAAAAGCTGCACAGCAAAGAAAAACTGTAAAAGGAATAATTGATCATTTTTTTTAAAAAAATGAGTAAATCACAAAAATGACCTTTATAAAGTATCAAGCAGCTCCAAGTCCTGATTGGAGGAAGGACTGGGCCAAGAGAAGGAGTTAGGGTTAACCAACCGCAATCTTATCTTTACCTCTGGTGGGGCACAGCATGAACTTGGTGGAATTCACATGAAAGTGTGGTCAGTCAGAGGCAGCTGCCTTTCAACCTGGGTTTCCCTCCTCTCCTAACACAATATATGGGTAGGCTTTTGGGGAGGTAGGAGGAGGAGAAGAACAAACAGTCTGTGTGTGCCCAGCTATCTCACACTCATATGGTAGAATCCTTGTACTTAGGCAAGCATTTCATGCACTTTCTGCTTTGGTGCAGAGACACCGGTGCTGACTCTTAGAAGGAATGTCTATCAGATATTGTGCCCATTAGGCAATTAAGTGGACAAAGAGGCATTTTTCCTGATTTACAGCCAATCTGAGGCGATCAGGTCCAGCACTCAGTAGTACCATGGAGGAAGCTGTAGCAGTCTCCAGTATCTCAGGCTGTAGCAATCACCACAGACAAAGGTAGGTATTGTGGTGAGAGTGTGGTCTCACACGGTTGGGGTTGCAAGCAACAGCAGTGAGGTAACTGTCAGTTGCCATCATCCTGTTTCATGTCCATGCCTTCAGTCATACACAGATTACTCAAGATCAAAGGTATCCCATTCAGCAACTCACAGGCTACCACAGCCTGGAGCTAAAATAACAGTGAGAATAGCGCTGTAATGGTCATTAATTGAAGACGTAAGGGTCTTAAGTTGAGGTGGATTAAGACATGGGCTTTTCTGCCCAGAAATTACTTGGTCAGAGGCAGGAAGGCGTTGATCACAACTACCTAATTTTCCAGGACTCCTTCCTTGTTTTCTATATGCCCAAAACAATCATCCCACATTTGTCCTCTACTTTCTTACACTTGTATACCCTGGATCAAGGAGGTTTGGAAATCAACATCACCGAACAAGAGTTCAGGGTGGTTATGAAGATGGGAAGACATTCTTCCTCAGCACTCTAACACTCCAGCTGTCACAGGTCTTTCTTTTGATGCAATTCCTACCTCTCATGGCCTTCTTGAATTGTTCTGCCAACCTGACTCCGACAGAACCAGGGAAGCCACACCTCCATGGGAGGGAGAGCATGTGCCCTCAAGCAGACAACAACAAGAAGAACTTACCCGAACTGTGTAAACAAATGTTAGCACAAACCCGGGCACTTGTTGGGTGGTACTACTAGTAAAGGCAAAAGCTGCAAGATGCATCTAAGCATCCCTAAGGCAAGGGCCCAGGGCGCAACATCTTGTTTAGCTCCACTCTCCCTGTCTTTGTCTTCCTCCCTATCTCCATGCAGACTGCCACTCATTCGCAGCCCCTCTTCCCCATAAATCCCTCAGCAGCCTCTCCATCACAGCCCCTCATCAGCCCCATTCTCCAGTAGAAAGCCGCTGCCTTCCATATCCCACACTATCCTCCAGGCCGCACTCAGTCCCAATGACCCAGTCAGCAGCCTTCCATCTTCAGCCTCTCTCCCTTTCTCAGATACATCAGTCACCACTCCAGCATTTAGGGGTCAGGCTGAATGAAGCTTCACAATGCTCACTGTTCCTCTAATCACAGCCTATTTCTCTACCATAATGCAGTTCCTAAGCTCACTAGTGAGCTAATCAGCAGCAAAATTAGAACTGGCCTGTGATTGAAGGACCACCTCCTTCCAGAATCTGTCACTTCTACTTTTTTGTATTTCAAGCACTGTTTAATGTTGGAAAACACAGGTCTAAATGCATTTTCTGTGGTGACGGAACCCAATCAGCCAGGTGGACTTCATAAAATAGGAGTTCCCTGATTGGAGCTGTTAATCGGGTCTAATCAGGGGGCTCTAGCTGACAGATAAAAACAGGAGTGTCAGGCATTTATTCACTGAGAGCTGGCTGTGAGGGAGATGGATCAGTGTCAAGGACTTTCCACATGTAAATAAAGCATGACTTGGTGACGGGACACCAGCCTCTGTTGGAGTTACTTAGTAGCAATGACAGAAAAGTAGAATCCTGAAGAAATTTGCCACAACAGTCATCTTGGAGTTGGGGTAAGCACTTCCAGCATCATGCTGCTATTTAGGAAGCTTGACTCATTCAAACCTGCCATAGACTGGGCCCAGAATGTGGAAAGAATGCATTATTTTTTCCAGACAAATGACATTGGGACAGATAAAAACGAGTAATTCTCCTGACAGCTTGTAGACCTGCAGCTGGTTTTTCGGTTACTATGAGCATAACTCTCCCCGAGGCACCAGATACGAAAACCTTTCAAGAGTTGATGGATTTAGTTAAGGAATATTACAACCTCAAGCCTTCTCTAATTCTGTGATGCTATTGGTTTTACTCCACAATTAGAGAACCAGGGGAATTGGAATTGGAATTGTTGACTAGGTTAAGACGATTGGCTGAGTGTGACTTTAGTTTAATAATTAATGAGATGCTGAGAGACCATTTGGTACGTGGGATTAATGATGTAACTATGCAGAAGCACCTACTA